TAGGGAGTGCCCAGTATGCGGACCACTCATTGAAGGAAAGAAGGATTTTCCATCGGTCAGTACAGTCTGTGTCAGAGCAGCAGTGTAGAAGCCTGATAATGGTTTTCTTGTGATTGCTCTGTGTTAACAAAATGCCACATGTTCGATGCAAACTCCTTTCTGGTCATTGATAACGCCTCGTATCACAAAACTCAGACAGACAAACCACCGACGTCTTAATCAAAGGACGAAATGAAAGCCTGGCTATTGGAAAGAAACTTCCCATTTTGTGACGTGTTGAAAGCTCAACTGTAAGATTTAATCAAATTAAATAAGTCAAAGCACAAATGTCACGTGATTGATAAGATTTTAGCAGACAAAGGGCACACTGTGCTGAGACTTCCGCTCCCACCATCCCGATTTAAACGCCATTAAACTTATTTGGGCAAATGTAAAACAAAGGGTTGCAAGCAAGAACACAAGATTTAAAATAAAGGATGTCGAGCATCTGTGTCTCCAGAGATTCGAAGAAATTGTTCAAGAGGAATGGGATAATGTGGAAAAACTAGAACAAATTTATCATGAGCAAGAAGGCATAATCGAAGACGCTATTGAACGTATTATAATTGAAGATAATGGAGTGATGAACCGACTGATGTCAGAAAGCGATGGACTGTGAGGAGTAGAAGATTTGGAAGAGGACCGAATAGTTGTGAGGAAGATAAAATTATCTAATTCTCTCTGCAGTGTTAATTTTCTAGTGATGTGTAAAGTAAAGATATCCCACTATACACCATGTAGGCGCTTGGGGGGAGAGGAGGTATAGCTCCTACTCATTCTAGACCTCAGCACTAGATGGGGGTGAGTGGTCAGCATCACGCCCCGGCCGGCTTTACCCCCGGGAAAGGACCCCGGTACCCATTGTAGAGAAGGCTGGGTGGGCCCCAGAAGAGGCTAGAGGAAAAATCCTCTGCCCCGTCGGGGATCGAACCTCGGTCCTCCAGTACTTAGCTAGTCACTATACTGACTGAGCTACGCCGGCTCCCTCTAATGATGTGTAGTGTAGTGAAATCGACTGTCCTGTGTTACATACCGTGGTGATATTTTATTTGTAGTGTACTGTACGCGGCCTGTTGCCATCCCTTCCAGCAAACTTCTGGTATGTGACTCGCTCCGAGGTTTTAATTCACAAAGCTCAGCGGCCAAAAACGCTTGAACGCATTATACTACTTGTTCAAAAAACACAGGCGCATACGTGTTTAAAAATGTCTGTTTATGCGTCGTACATTGACCGGTTGGCAACTTTGCCGAACTACTTGCCAACAAAATCGCTGAAAAAATTGGCCATACGAAGTAAAGATCCATTGTCGATGGATCCCTGCCCTCGTGTGAGGGGGGTGGGGTGGCACATTTCCAGCATGTAGGCGAGGTGTGGGCTTCACGTTGAACGTGGAACAAATGTTGCTATTGTATTATAAATGTCACAAATGGAATGTCTTATTGCCCCATGCTTTGTGTCCTAGAATGTATCTTACATTCTTACCTTATTATTTTCAGTAAAGCGTTTTGGAAGATTTTAAAGTTAGTAGTTCGAGTCTGAGTAACTCACTTTGGTAGCACAACCTGAAGATTCAAACCGCTGAAACCAAAGGCCGCCACTGGCCAATTCCATCCACTTCCATCCACTTCCCACACTCACAACCTGGTTTCTTAAGACCCCCAGCTCTGCATGACTAGCCCATCGTAGCCTCATGTCACTTTATGATTGTCAGATATCCCATCTTCCTACCCAACCAATTGGAGAATCTACTGTCTCCATCTTCAGGAATGAACGTGAGTCGTTGATTATTGAGTGGGTGTTGTGTCTTGGAACTTTTCATGTGGTTTCTTGTTCGGTGGCTCGATTGCGTAGTATTTAAATATCTGAGTTCATGTCCAGGCGTTGTAATTTATTACTGCGTGGTAAGAAAACGAGGAAAGACGATGAAGTTTCAGGAGTTAAAACGAGAAGCTGAGAAAAGGGAAAACTGGCGAGCTCTTTTTGGGCAGAGCAATGTACCTGTCGTCAGACAGAACACTCAATAATAATAATAATAGTTTCTTATATTCGTTGATTCCCTACTCTTGATAAAGTGACAAAGGAGTTCTGTTTTAAACGATATGTAAGCTCGTTTTGTGCTCGGTCGACGGGGTTACGTATCAGAACTAAATTCAGCCAACAGCTGCCAGTCTAACCCCACTATGTCAAATTGAATCGAAATGCACTGAATAGTTGTGGATGTGAAATTGTCCATTGCATACACTTTGTGCAAAATTTATACCAGGGCCAGTATTCATAGTCACTTATACCAGATTGAAGAGGCGTTAGGAGTCATTAGAAGGCTGTCAGAATGACGTGGCTTCCCTTCCGTCAGCTGATTCGAGTGTTTGTACAAGTGTGCGCTGTGACCTTCACAACCGCTACGTGCTGCAAACGGGAAATCGTGTCTGTACGCCCGCCTACATGTTTCAGCTGCTAAACTAATGAAGGGATTTTATCAAAATTTGGTACTGGTACTGTAACATGTACGCTTTCTCGTACCCGTCAGATTCCATTCCAGGTTTGCGGTTGTTGGAATTGAAGTTCTTGCCGTAGTCTGACGTATCTAGCCTCAAATTGTAGGTATTTTACGTAATATCTGTCTCTACCGGCCTTGTCATAAATGGTCCGTTGCTCACAAATATTGTGGGCCGCGTGACTTGAGACATACACTTTGTTAAAGTTTGCAACTTACACTGTATTGCTTTGAAGCCGAGGCTAGTCTAAATCACGTTTAAGAACGCAGCCCGTACCGCGAAGAAAACGCCACACTTCACCATTACGAATGCTGTTGAGGAACTAATCCAGGTTTACAGAGAGACTTATACGAAACCCGTAAATACAAAACGTGGAATTTATAACTATTAGAGCAGATGGCGCAAATATCAGTGGGCTTTAAAGAGTTAAACAATTTTTTTGTGTTCAGTGTTAACT